ATACACTCAGACTGGATTTTCTCCAGCACTTTATTTTTATCAAGGAATTGTTGAAGCTTGTTTTTCCACTTCTAAATGGAAGTCACATTCCAGTGAGACTAAATGGGATGAAAATCCTCCACTGCTTGTTAAACAAATTTGGATAGTATCAAGCTTCCAACATTCATCTACCCAATTCCTAAAAATTGCCCTGAGATTCTCCAGCACTAACACTTTGCGTATCCCAAAAAAGGACTTGAAATTAGTCCATTAACAATTCAGTGTCTCTGCTGAACAATATGGCTCAGAAACTCTGCAAGGCCAACACCAAACCTTTAGCCTTGCTTGTATGAATGGTGGGGTAGCTTCGGGAATTCAATTTTTTTTAAAAAAAGTATTCAAACTCCAACCTATTTCCCAGCTTCGAACAACGGAGATATGGTTTTTTAAAACAAAACTTCCAAACAAGTCAGCAGCAAAACAGCTGATCTTAAAAAATGCTGAGGCACTGAGCATTTTTCCTGAAAAGGAACCAAAGTTTGAATGTAACATTAGTCATGATCAGCACAACGGAATATTCACTGGCTTCACCTGTGAAATCATGCATTCTAATTGTACTTGTGCAGGTATATAGTTCTCTGCGTAACCCGAACATTTAAAGTAAATTGGGTACAAAACTCCGTACAAACAGATTGGATTTTAGAGAGTTATAAAACATAACATGTAGCAACCAGCAATAGTTACATGTTGTATAGATAGTCTGAATGACATATTACAATTCCTTTGTTCATTAACAGGATGAGGGCATCGCTGGCCAGACAGCATTTATTATCCATCCCTAATTGGCAAGTGGGCACTTCAAAGTCAACCACATTGCTGGGGGTCTGGAGCCACATGTAGGCCAGACCAGGTAAGGATGGTAGTTTGCTTCCCTAAACGACATTAGTGAACCAGGTAGGTTTTTCCAACCATCAACAGTGGATTCAGGGTCATCGTTAGATTCTTAATTCCAGATATTTTATTGAATTCAAATTCTACCATCTGCTGTGACGTGATTCGAACCCGGGTTCCCAGAACGTTATCTGGGTCTCTGGATTAACTGTTCAGCGATAATACCACCAAGCCATCGCCTCCCATTCTCTTTCTGTACACCAGTTTTTAAACTCCCAGCTGATGAGAGCTAAAACGAGACACTTGAACCCAGAATCCTGATGCCTTCCGATCATTTCCTGAAAGTAATCTGTTTTATTTGACCAATACCCAGTGGAAGGCAGTAAGGTCCATGATAAATACGTAGATCAGGGTCCAATAAGATTGCTAGGCCATGAGCTGCAATGTTGTTGGGAGGCATAATCAGGGATGTAGTGGAGATATATTATGAAACAGAGATGATATAATAAAAGCAACCTGGGCTGTGTGATTTATGACTTTTGGTGATTTTGGCTTTGATTGTTTTTCTGTCACAGTCTAGAAAATACAGAAGGTACACTCTAATTTTGAAATGTACATAAGTTCTAGTACTGTGATTTTTATTTTGGATAATGAAATAAATTGCAGTTAAATTATTGCTACAATACAAGATTCTGTTTAACTTATTGCAGTCTTATCCAATTTTGAAAGTGTATTGTGACATTTATTAGTTCTGATCCTTCCCCACATCTGATCTCCTCTTGGTTCACTTTTATTCATATTTTAGCACAGCCCAATGAACTGCGGTTACATTCCCAGTGCTTTTATATCAGCTTTTTATGTAATACTAACCTAGTCCCATACCTGACATAAGGCAGGCTCTTACGGCACACTGTCCATTGCTCATTCTCTGCCTTTAGAGCAGAATTTCTGCTGTCATTCCCACTTTTACTCTTTCTGACCTCCTTTCTACAGGGAGAGAGAGAAAGGGGCAGAGTTTAAAAGCCCCAAGCAATTTCTTCAAACAATTATGACTAAGGATAATTAGATTTTAAAAATACAAACAAATGCCACATTACACTGCACATTTGGGATCATCACCATGCTGACAGTCATCACGCTAGTTTAGTATGGCATCTGCAGTCCTTCAGGCTAGCACTTACAGTCTGTCTCCCTCAATGTGGTGGTTTTACATCACCATTCCTTTATACCTGCTAATGTAAGCTGTGTTGACACAATGCTTGTATTGTTCCAGTTGTTCACCTCCACATTTAGTTACCATTGCACTTTCAGGAAACTAAGCACAACCACTGTAGTGGCTTTAAGTTAAATGTGCAAAACCAAGCATGTCCAATGGGATTAGCAATTTTTAGCTGTTAAACAGATGAAGTCAATTCTGAATATTAAACAAAATAATGAAGCTGAAAGTGATGAGACGACAGAAAGCAATATTCAGTATAGTGCATTTGTAAATCCATCATAAACTGGTACTTAAAGTGATACGAAAAATTTAGCCTAGCTATGCATACAATGAACATTTGTACTCTACACTGGCAAGGCAAATTGTACTGCAAATCTCTACTACTCAAAGTTACGTAAATGAAGTTATTACTGATTTAACTAGATGAAATGAGTGTTAAATGTGAAGAATCCTTAGATCATGGAGGTAAACCGACGCTACCTCTATTTCCAGCCCAAGAAGCAAAGACTGCAAACATCCTTCCATACACCAATACAGATCAGAGAAAAAGCACTCAAAACAGTAGCTGATAATAACACCAGAAATAACGCATGTAATATCACAAACCCTGAAACTTCAACACAGTCCACATCCAAAGCAAATGTGATAACATTCATTTAATTACGGACAAGTAATCATTTCCCATGTTGATATTCAAATCTCTCCCTGCTCCCCAAAACTAACGCGATACTTTTAGTCCGAGGTCACAAAACAAAGCCAAAAGGACATTTTCTAATAATGTGCACTGGAGTAGCAAACTAGGTGTTGGCCAATATCATACTGGGTCAATTCTGCAGGAACTTTAAATATCAGCCTATTTATTACTCATCACGAACTGACTGCTGGCCTGTGTGAACTTGCTATTAACAGATGCGTCTGCTCTGATAGACTGAAACTACCATTTCAAAGGGCTGCAATGTTGGTGTTCCACAAAGAAAGAGTCATGACTGGCCAAAGATGAAGTATCTCTGTACTCAGTTGGAATCTTCAAGCTGCGAAGAGCAGCGAGTGTGTGCTGCTGAGCCAGAACACACTCCTATAAAAGTGCTAGCCTGCTCATGTGGTCCAGTGGCAGTGTCCCTACCTCTGGGCCAGGAGGTCCAGGTTCTAGTCCCATCTGCCCTGTCATAATATGCCTAAACAGGATGATTAAAAATATCCAACAGAGAGATGCAGGTCAATTGGCAACAGATGATTAAGAGAATTGATCATTATGATGGCTGACAAGAAAACGCAGCAAGCGTCCAAGGAGGGCAAGAAGAAACTCAAGATACTGTCAGTGAAGAACAGCAAGAGGCGGTGGTCGTCCAGCAAAGAAAGTTACTCCATCTACAAAGTGATGAACCCTGCATCTCCTTCAAGGCCAAGAGCATTATGAACTTGTTCGTTAACGATATTTTTGAGTGTGTTGTGGGGGAAGCTTCCTGCCTGGCCCATTACAACAAGCACAGCACCATCAGCTCCCAGAGATCCAGACCACAGTGCACCTGCTGCTGCCTGGGGAGTTGGCCAAGCATGTCATGTTGGACGGCACAAAAGGTGGTAACCAAGTGAAAGACCACTTTGTACTGAAACTACAAATAAACACAATGAAATACTATGAAACAAAATTTGGCACAGGCCACATTAGAATACATTAGAACTGATGACCAGAGGCTTAGTCAATAAGGACAGATCAAGCGAGAATTTCACAAATGAAAGAGACAGGCAGAGGTACAAGCAACGAATTCCAGAGCTTCCAGCTGAGGCAGCTGCAGGCACAGCCACCAATGAGGAAACAATTACAGTGCTGAACAAACCACAACTGGACAGTGCCGGGGTGGGGGGAAATGGGCGGGCAGGCAACTTGTTCACATCGTAGTTTAAAGAAAAGCTGTCACCCTTAACTGCTCTGATCTAAAAGACTCCAGTCTCTCAACAAATAGTGATGCTTACTTCCGTCTGAAATGACCAAGTCTCTCAGTTGGCACAATATTTTCCCCAGATGGACAATAATCATTTGAGGCCTGTATCCCAATTTTTTTTTAAATAGATGAATAAACCTTAGGACTTGTAACGTCAGTGTTAACAGTAGTATTGCTGAAATGTGAAATTAGGAAAAAAAAAAGTTAAATAAATTCTATTCATAATACTAAGAATGGGAACTTTGACACAAAACTAGCCACACTCTGTCCTAGCACGAACACTTTTTTGAAAAGTGAACATGGAAAACGCGCAAGAACCATAAAGCGACAGCCGAGCTGGTTTTAAGAAATGCTTCCAATTATACGACACCTTTCTTAATCGCAGAACATCCCAAAGCACTTTACGCCAATGAATAACCTTTGAAGCATGTCACGACTGTAATGTAGCAATTTGTACATCGCAAGTTTCCACAATCAACAAGGCAACAGCAACCAGCTAACCACTTTGTTGGTGGTGATTTACGGACACCATATTCCCATGCACTTCTTTTAGGTAATGCCACTAGCTCTTATATATTCTCTCGGGGGTATTTAGAGTTTTGATTTAACATCTCATCAGAAAGGCAGCACCCCCTCTGGAATTTGGCCTCGATTGTAATTCTCAAGTTCTGGGGTAGGCCTTGGACCACAACTTTGACTCAGGTGAATACCACCAACTGATCACAGCTGCCGCTATCAAATATAATGCAGTGTTTCCACATTCAGAACCCTAATGAGTCCCAAATAATTAATCTATTTATTCATGACAGAGCAAAGTATATGTTCACTCACTAAGTATCATGGTGTGTCGGGAATAAAACTGTCAATCCAAATCTACACTAGAAGCAAATAATGCATCATTAAGGAGTTCGATTTTCAATGTCAGGAAATTAGAGTTGAAAATAGTTGAGGCTTTAAGCATGTCTTACCCCCTTCTTCATTCTGAAATCCAGCAAGGATCCGAATATCATCGTGTCTATACCGAGACACACTGGCAGAACTGGTAGAATGCAATCCGTAGGAGGCAGAATTGCCCCGATCCCTGGCCAAAGGATACTTTAAACTGTCTTGGTCAGCTGTTGCACTGTCAATCCTAAAAAGTGAGACATTATACACTGAAGTAAAAATATAATGGTAGCACAGAGTTAAATATTTAACATACAATCAAGAGGCATGAATTCAAATCACTGTGATAAACATGGCATAGAGGTTTACAACATAAAATACTGTACCTGTGAAAGCAAGATTGCTCTAAAATCACAATTGTTGGTTTCATTAACAGCCCTCACTGAAGGGACCACACTGCCTTATTGTCTGGCATGAAAGTTCTGCAGTTCCAAACTCTCTATTTGAACTGTATTGTTGCATAAGACATGCCACGTTCTGCCTGCTCTGGGGCCATTGATTTGCATTTTGCTCCACTCTAAAAGCACAAATTGTTGACTTGCAAGATTTGGTCAATTCCAGGACTAAAGTGCTTAAAACATCCCAACCTCGAAGTCATTCTGCCAAATGTCTCCCCTAAGGTGCACTTTTGAAGACTGCATCAATAAAGCTCAAACTAATTTTATAATTTCCTCAAGAATTCATTGCATATAATCTTTGAAAGAATTCTGTTCCTCTGGTGCTCATAGGAAAAGAATTCATCCAAGAAAGACTAAGCAGTTGTTAGCCATTTTGAAAATCAGAGTATATTAGTAGAGACAAGATAGACAAGTACGTGGGTGCTCTAATTTCCCTTCTCCAATAGACAGCTTGAAACGCCCACCCTAGCAGTGGGAGAAACCAAACTGCACCATCTTGATTTATAGAATAGCAACTTTTGTCCACAGCCCTCAGTGCAACCCACAGGATGGCACCTGGTCTCAGGTAGGACACAAAAAATGTTTTAAGGAAACCCTAAAGGCCTGTGAAAGGAGGTCAAATTGACATTGGTAGGAGAGGAATTTGTGGCTGCACCTCATCTACCAAACTAAGAGTCAGAAATTGACCAGGTAAACTCTGGTGTGCAGAAGCAACAAAAGCAAAAGGAAAGAGAGAAAGAGCCCGTCTCAAGAACATCCCATTCTTCACAGCAAATCTTGACCTCTCTGCCCAAAGATCGGTGGCTCCAGGACTGGCCTGCTGAGTCAGCAGATTGCCAACCATGAAACTGGCAGACATTGAGTGAGGGACAACAACACCGGCAGCTTTAGAAAAACTATTACTATTCTCTCCTCAGTTGTGAGGAGCCTATCAATCATATGACCTCAATTGAAGCCATAAACTATCAACAGCGAGAAGCAATCAACTCAAAACTTTCAAAATTCTTTCGGCAACCATCTTGGTTTTCATGAAGTCGAGAAATTTGATGCTGGAAATAAAATTAGCTAAATAAGGTTTCTGTACATACTTGCACCGTAGAATTGTGTATAAATATTGTGACAATAGTTACTGCCTACAAATATAGGACTTGATTCAGAGGTTTTCTATATCCATTGTTGCAGCTTCACAGATTACCTATACAGCCCAGAATTATTTTGTAATCAACTGAAAAAGCTCGTGTCCATCATATGCAACCGACGCTTTATGCTGGTGCACACAATTCCTCCTCCACAGGTGAGAAAGTATTGAAGACTCAACTATAAACCCAGGGAAATATTAGAGTCTGTTATTTATTTGAGAGATAAACATATAATGTAATGTAAAGCAGGAGGTGGTTTGCTGAAAGGAGAAGGAACGAGGAAAGGTATGTCTGGTGATCTTCATTTCAGTAGAGTTATGAAAAACAGTAAGTTGAAGGGGAGAAAAATTCTTCAGGAGTTATGGCAGCAACTAGCGAACGACATGCCTCAACATATTAATTCTTTTATAATAAAAGAAATAATTACAGATGCTGGAAATCAAACAAAAATGGTAGTTGCTAGTTCTGAAGAGTCACCAGACCCGAAATAGTAACTGTTTTTTTCCTACACAGATGTTGCCAGACCTGCTGAGCTTTTCCAGAAACTTTGTTTTTGTTCCTGAATCACAGCATCAGCAGTTTGTTCGGTTTCTGTATACTCATTCCAGTCCTCGTCTCTGTGTACTAAAGTATTGGTTCTCCAATCCCCGCTCACACATTCTCCTCCAATTGAGTCTGCTCTTCAAGAGCTACAAGGTGACCAAAGGAGGAAGAGGCATTAGTGGCTTAACGGCAAGAGGCCCCACAAGGTACAAGGAAACGTTGGTGTAACAAACTTTACCTTGGAGAATTTAGCAACCTAACACCACCACTCTTGTATAAACGATTTTCCAGGTTCACTGCGTCTCCATGCTCTTTACATTCCCTCCGAGATTTTGTTAGCTGCAAAGTCTACTTCCATAACCTAGAACGACTGAATATCCTGGTGCTCTAAGGAAAATGAACTTCCAATTCACATTAAATGCCATCTGCCTGACTCCGAATCGTGTGGCACTGAGAATCTAAATGGTTTGAACTTTTTCCTTGAAAGACATTTCAATATAAATCATCAATCCTGAGGACGACTGATGAGAGAATTATGAAACACGCTAACTACCAACTCAACAGTGCTTGCAGCAACATGGTAAGTTGAACAGGCAGCAAACAGTGACTTGCACCTGTAATATTGGGAGATCAAAACAGAACATTCATTTCAGCTGTACCTATTTGTAAACAGTTTCTGATCCACCTTATATAATTATCGATCAATGAGCATATTAAAATATTACATTCGCTCATTTCCTGTTGTTGTTTTGTTAAAACCTTCAACTTCCTGTGCAAGTCACTGTTTTAACTATAAATTGATCATGCTGTAATTAACTGTTAGACTGCTCGGTGGCTTTGTAACAATAAAAATCATCGCAGAGCTTCCGGGAAGGATTTGTGTCTCCAGTTACCATGTGGTTTTTTCCTCCAGATAAATTGTGTTTTCAAGTCAATTGCTTCCTTTCAATAATGCTGTTTAATTTGCTTATTGCACACCCATTTAATAGACTTTTAATCTCAACTCTGTTCTTCTTCCTTAAAATTCAACAGTTATTTCTTACTTCTCTTACACCTATCGCTAGTTTTTGCTCATTTTGTTTCTCCAAAATCAGAAATCCCTGCAACAGTAAAGTTAACATCTAACAAAGAATCGACAATAAATGTTTATAGAATACCTTGAATGTGACAAACCTCCCAAAGCCTTCAGCTGATGCATTATTAATCAAAGTGTCACAGAACTGCAATAGAAGATATTAGATCAAATGACCAAAAGCCTGATCCAAGAGGTAGGCATCAAGTCTCAAGCAAGTGGGGTGAGGTGGAGAAGAGAGGGGTGGAGGGCAGGAGAGAGAAGGGAGCTGGAGAGAAGGGATGACTGATGGAACGATGACTGGGAATGGCCAAGAGCCCTGAATTAGAGGGGGGCAGATATTTCACCCCAGGGCCATGGAATTTGAGGTGGTTATAAAGAAATAGAAAGTGCAAGGCCATGTAAGTATTGTAAAACTAGCGTGAGAATTTTAAACTCAAGACATTGCTTGTCCAGTAGCCAATTTACATGAGTGAACACAAGAGTGGTAGGGAAGCAGGTCTTGCTACAAGACAAGACACAGTTCACAGGCTCAAAAACAAAGTTGCTGGAAAAGCTCAGCAGGTTTGGCAGCATCTGTGAAGGAAAAAACAGAGTTAATGTTTCGGGTCCGGTGGCCCTTCCTCAGAACAGTCCATAGGCTTTCAGATAACATCAAGTTTACAGAGGGTAGAAAGTTAAAACCTTGCCAGCAGTGTACTGAAATAGTCAAGTCTAGAGGTAAACAAGGCACGGATATAGGGTTCAGCAGATCAGTCAAATTGGGAAGTTGAGCAATGTTAACAAAGTCAGAAGTCCTTCTTCAGGTGTTAGGACTGAGACTCCGGAAGCTTAGGTTTTCAAATAAACCTGTTGGACTATAACCTCGTGTCGTGCGATTTCTGACCTTGCTCACCCCGGTCCAACACTGGCACCTCCACAATGTTAATAAAGTGAATACAGGCGGTTTTACAAAAGGATGAGTACGACGTCAGAAGCTCATCTAAGGATCATACGTAAACCAAGCTTGTGGAGAGACAGGCTTATCAGATCGTCAGGCAGAGGGATGGTGTTGGTAGTTACAGAATGGAATTTGGAGCTGTGATTGAAAACAATGACTTCAATGCTCCCAAAATTTAATTGGAGGAAATTTCTGTGCATCCTTTACCAGACATCAGATAAGCATCCTGATATTCTCAGCAATCCATTGTTGCTGAGATACAAGTCTGGCTGAATTTCAACATCCAATCCTGGCACCCCACATAGTTTTGTGATGGTCCTGCCATGCATCAGATCCATCCAGCCCACGTTATGAATGCTGCATTGTGCAGTCTGGGCAGCTCTCACCACACATCCTCCTTGGTCAAATCACCATAAGCAGCAAACCTGTAACTGCACAGGCCCACTAATGTGCAGGATGCACCTTTTTTGGTTCCCTGTTCACAGCTATCTTTTACTCAGCTATACACAGCACGCAACCTACTCTGGGCCCACCCCCACACCCATGATCACCCACCCGAGTCAACAATATCACCTAGAACTGCAATGTGAGATGTTCAATATCCATCTCACCGAGCAACTTCCCAATGCTAGCTACCTCAACAAGATACCCTACATGTTCAAATCATTGAGAAAAATCTAAATACACACATGGGAAAGGAAAAAGCATAAAAGAAAATCACAAAAAATAAGTACCCACATGGAAGGTTTCATTACAAAGCTCAGATTTCTCTTCCCTTGGTGACCCAGATTATTTTGTGTTATTGCAAACAAATGGAACACAATTAATTGCCTACAGTTGCTGGCTGTTTCTTCAGAAACAATTCAAAAACACACACACGTGCATCTGATGCGCTTTCCAAACACTTAAGCAACATGAAACTGCTTTCTTGCAACGGTGAGCTCAGAGTACTGATAGAATAGTGCACATTTCCTGTAAACTTCCTGTCAAGTTTTAACCCAACTACTGCCTCACCTTGAGTAACATGGTAGACCCTCTAATATTCTAAGGACAGTATGGTTAGTATACAAATACACATTGTAATAAACATTAAAA